GCGCTTAGGCGTAGAACAGGAGGGTCCGGAGCTGACGGATCTCTCCCACACGACAGTGTCACAATATGCAGCGCTCAGTGACATAAGCCGTGAATGCTGCCCACCAGCGACTTCAAAAAGTTTGGACACTAGAGATTGTTTCTCATTCAACTCTGCGGTGAGACGAAGGACTTCTTTTCGTAGTTCTGCAATGGTGGCACGGTCGCTCTCACGGAGCTCCAAGGTGAGGCGACTAATATTGTGCATGTTTGAGCCAATTTCATTGTCACTTTCCATGTCCTCGTTAGCTTGTGTTAGCTTCTGTGCTACTAGTGGGTTTCAGTCGGGACTAAGCGCTATTTGCTGAAACCACTGAATTAATAACATAAAACACTCAGATATATTAAAAAACTGAACAATAAAAACGCGCTAAAAAGTTGTTAAAAGTTTACTAAAAAGGTGCACAGAGCAGCCCTGCAGTACTGCTTACCGGAAGTCATCAATTTATATACCGCCTTTCACAGACCAGAGTCACAAAGCGGTTTACAATTGTTAAGGTAGGTCTCGTGGCGGGCCCGGCCCAACCCATCAGGCTCAAAGGCCAATGCTCTACCAACTGAGCCACTGTCACAGCTATGAGCCACAGCTATGACTATTTGTATAGAACAATTCATACGACAAGGCGACAGTAGCTCAGTTGGTAGAGCATTGGCCTTTGAGCCAGAGGGTCGTGGGTTCAAGCCCAACCTTCACCATCGACTCCCACTGTCTGCTGTCGTTGTGTCCTTGGCAAGACACTTAACCTGTGGGAACACCAGCCACAGTGGGACGGCTGCGGCTGTAAAGTGCCAAACTGCCGCTGTGTCCTTAGGCAAGACACTTCACCCCCATTGCCTAGAATGAGTCTGGTGTGAATGGTTGGTGGTAATCGGAGGGGCCGATGGCGCATACTGGTTGCCTCGCTTCTGTCAGTGTGCCCCAGGGCAGCTATGGCTACAGTAGTAGTTTATCACCACCGTGTTTGGAGTGAAAGAATGACATGTAAAGCGTCTTTGAGTGTCCAGAAAAGCGCTATATAAAACTGATGCATTATTATTATTATACACAAGGCAACCCAAAGTGCTGAACAAAAAAAGATTGAAACCACCACAGTAATCACAGAACATCAAAAAAAGAAAAGATACAGATATAAATATAAAAGCACTCTGTTGTATACTCAGCTAAACAAATCTGTTTTTAACATGGATTTAAATATTGCCAGGGAAGACGCCTGTCCCACATTTTCAGGAAGATTGTCCCAGATTTTAGTTGCATGAATCTAAAATGCTCCCCATATAGGGCTTTCTTTTACCCTCAAAGATGCTTCACACTGCATTATTCTTTCACTGGGGCAGACTGACAAAATCTGTACTCCTTTTGACATCTCTATTTGTATTTTCGTAAGTTTGTGCTATTGTCATTTTAAAAGCACAATCCTGAACTGAAATTATAGCAAAATGCATCGGGGAAAATGTATGCAGTACAGATTTACCACAGATATACCAAATGTCATTCCTACACTGATGGCCAGCCATAGTAATGCAAATATAAGCAGGAAAAAATACATATGTATAGGGTAAAGCTGAGGTCTCTAACTTTTGTTTCAGAAATAACACATGTTTTAGTCCCAACAGAAAGTCTTGTTAAAGCGAAATTCAGTGAAAATTGTCAAGTATATTATCTTTTGTATACTTGTAAGAAAGATCCCTGTGAGTCACTATTTTACAGTTTGAGCTGACTGTGGTCTTCTTGATTTAGCTGAAAAGCTGATGTAAAAATCAGAGACTAGTGATAGAATCAACCTGTTTTAGAGTCAGGAACTAGTTAGAGAAAAGTAAGTACATAGATTAAGTTATTATAGTTTGAAAGCATAGAGAGTGAATATTGATTGAAAGTAGATAGTACCCCAGCTCTAAGGCTAAAATATTAATATGGACTATGAATTAGGAAGAGGAGCTTTAACATTTTCAAATAACTGAATTAAACTTTCTTTGTAAATGTTGAATGAGTACGCCCGAGCTGGCCTGTAGTGCAGCCAATGAACTCATTTTAATAAGTAAAGAAGTGCATTAAATAATGTTATATCATTAATCATTGTTATATCGCTGCGGTTTTCTCATTAAGCTCATTACTTTTAAATAACTTCTATCAAAATGAGTCCCAACTTTCATCATGCATTGTCTTCACTCCAAAGTCCCTCTATAACCCCACTCATCCTCTTGTTCTCTAGTCCTTTGCCGTTTCGTCTAACTGGATTAAGGACAATAGAGATTGAACTCAGGAGCTAAGACGAAATTGAAAACAAAAGAACAGGACGTACGGGAAGGAGAAAAGAAGAGGGGGACAACCACAATGACCTAAAGCCAAACTCTCCAAAATCCCAGACTTCTATTCAATTAGCTTCGGAAAGTTTTTGTTTCAAAGTCAGGAGTGTCACCAGGGATCCAAAGCCCTAATTCAAAGTGCGCCGCGCCAATTTGCAGTTCTAACCTCGGGTCAGAGAGGCAAGCCCAAAATAAGAAACATTGGTGCGGAATGGGATACTCTTAAGGTGAAATGTCTGTGCTGGATTTCATAAAGGTCAGGTCCCATGCGTGGCAGCGGAAGAGATTGCAGTGGCGCCATTCTCATTGGAGCACACTTCCATCAGGCTTCACCGCGGTCCCTGAATGAATCAAGGGCAGCAAACCAGGACCGCTCTCAACGTATTCCTGAAGAGGGATAAATTCATTTGGACCCCTAAAGGAATCCAATGAAATTCAAGAGGTTTTTACCCCCTCTACAATTTTGAAACTGTCTCCAATAAAAAATTGCAGGGCATTAATGAGATAGTTTAGAAGAAAAAGAAAATGGGGAAAACATGGGTGGCTGTTCAGACAAAGACGGCAAATAGTACAGTCTACAGTTGACATCACGCAACCAGACAAACAGCAGCGCATGGGGATGTGTAAAAAGAACATGAAAAAGACATGTGACTGGAATACTTATATTTGAATTTTTAGTGGTAGAGGAAACCGGAGCACCCAAAACCTTCTTCTATACCAATATCGGATTTTAAAAAATCAAAACATTTTTAAAAGCTCAAAAAAGAATACATGGCATAATTGGTACAAATTTGTGTGAAGAAATATTTTGTTGCATGAACATGTGGCCAAATAAATCAAACTTAATTTTTTGATTCGGCCAAAAATATGAATATATTCTACAAAACACAAAATATCCCAATTGAAAGTAAAACATTGTGCTACAAAATAGAGAAAAAAATGTCATACTTCACAAAGCAAAGACTGTAAAGTACTGGCTATGAATTAAGTATGAGCTTATGCATATTAGGTATAAAAGATCATAAGCCGGTCGCGTCTGAGCAAGCGCAAGTTAAAGGCAAAATAAAACACTACTGCTTCTGTCAACTTTAATTCCCCTTTGCAAAGTTTCTTCACGGCTCCCAGGTCTGCTTACTAATAAGACATTTACCAACGCGCTTAATATGCTGAGCACTGTATTAGCCTCTGTCGCCAACGGTTACTGCAGCCACCGGGGTAAAAAACACCCATATGCATCTATGCGAGCGCTGCTGTGCATTTATTAGACTTTGTACTGAGCTTGTCAATGGGGGCTACACACATTAGCTCAACTGTCACATAAATAACGTTTCTCACCAGCGAATGTCAGAAGCGCAGTCTTTTCAAGTGACGAAAAGTTGATTTTCTCATGTCACACGCAGTTACTTTGGCTAATGTTCAAGCGGGAGCCTTATGCTAATGCTAATGCACCTAGCCCGTCCAATCACACGCTTGGCTAACGGAACGACAGACTGAGGATGTGAGTGGGATGAAGACAGAGAGTGGGAGTAAACAGACATGAAGTCACTTAAACTTTAGAGTGCGGCTTAAAGGGGACTTCGGCATTTGCGGAGCTTTTAAAACCCAATGCTGACCATAGACATAGCCATATATATGTATAACAGCCATGTGATTATTCTGGATTCACGGGAGAAAAATATGATGGAAGTTTAAACATCAGCAGCGGCTAAACAGAGCTGGTTCAAACAAATTCACCCACTACACGCATGTTGAACTCAGTGTTGGGACAATATGATTCAAACCAGGCTCTGAAGCAGTTTTGGACTCATGAGAAGTCGGTTTAGGATTTAATTGTGTGTTTCCGCTTCCACAGTCATAACTACAGGCGTGGAGCCAGACTGCGAAGATGGACACACACTTTTAGAGTCTACGATTGGACGGCCAACTGCTCTCATGGGGATGGAGTTGATCCGTAATGTTTGCCTTTTTGCAGAAAAAGCTTATTAGAGCCAACTCTAAATAGGCTCCATGGGCGGGAATCTGGGACCAAATGTGTGGGTAGCAACAACATAGCAACCAAAGAGCCAATCAGGACCAGCACTGATCTGTTAAGAAGAAATTGGAAACAGAAAGCAAAAAGCGTTTTTTGTAACATGAAGTAGTATTTTGTTTGAAACTTATTTACAAAAGACAAATAAATATTGGAAAAACTTGTAATTCAAGGATCTAGCTGTTGTGGAAAGTTTTATAGCACAGTATTTTCTTTTATTGAATGAGCATAGATATAATTTAATATATCTTTGAGTGCTGCCGCTTGGATTAAAACAAACATATGGTGTTTTTGTTTTCTTCATAAAAAAATATGTACAACATGCCTTATTAGCCCAGACTCTCAGTTTTACATCATTGACTTGACAAAGCTGACAATTCGCCAACAACAGATCAGAGAATCAAACTATTTGAACACAGGGAATGCAATTATAACTGATGACCCATGTCCATAAACGTTAATAAATGTGCATAAATGTCCTGGAACATCACTGTCCTCAGAACCTCCTGGATCGACAAAGAACAATCAAAAGAATTCAGCTTTCTTAGATCGCAGCAATAATTAACATAATTTCAAGAACAAACCACAATTACACCTCTTGACCGAAGACGTAACAGTAAAATTTGTACCTTCCTCCTGGCCTCCTGTGTGGCGTAGTGCAGCAGCAGAGGCTCGCCGTGCTTTTGGTAATACTCCCTCTGGCAGCGGTCAGCCACAGCCGGCTCATTTGGCAGGAAGTTACTGGCCCAAACCTAATAAGACAGAACAGAACAAAACCGGGCTGTTTCTGGGTCCAGGTAATTGGAAAGAAGATGTTACATAATGGAATAGCACCCTGCAATTTACATCAAAATCATAACAGAGAAAGATATAGTATGGAGGGTATTAAAGTACCGTGGGTATAAGCTCACATTGGGCCTCATTCACGAATAACTTCGTAAGAAACTACTCAACTTTCTTCTCAAGTTGTCCTTAAGTAGATTTCTAAGAAGTCCCCACGTGGGATTCATCAACGCACTCGTAAGCCGCTGAATTGTTCGCAGCTGTTCTCTCAGATTGATGAATCCCATTTCCTCGTAAGTACAGCGCGCGTGCCCGGTGCTTCATTACCATAGGTACTTAGCATAAGTAACCGCCCACTAATGCCCATATAAGGGACTGCAGGGCCGTGTGCAGACGCCAGAGGAAACAGCAACAGGCCTAAAGCAGGCTTTTGCCAGACTGAGAATAAAGTTATAAAATGTTGACTTAAAAGTCAAAATATTATGATTATAAAGTCGAACTAGCAAAATTATGAGATTAATCTAAGAATATGATGAGATTAATCTCAAAATGTTATGATCTTAATTTAAAAATATATTATGTATTATTTTAAAGATGAATCTCAAAATGTTTTGAGATTAATCTCAAAATATTTTGGACCCTGGGAGGAGATCCAGCGCGGACCAGCGCTGAGACCAATGCAGACCCGAGGAGAGACTGGAGTGACCAGCACACAGAAACCAGCGCGGACAGGAGAGACCGCATAGACTGGAGACACCTGACTGGAGAGACCGGTGCGCAGAGACCAGCGCGGACCGAAGAGAGACCGCATAGACCAGACTTGAGAGACCAGCGCGGACCCGTATGGATCCATGGGAGAGACCACTGCAGACCCGTATAGATCCATGGGAGACACCAGCGCAGACCCGTATAGATCCATGGGAGAGACCAGTGCAGACCCGTATAGATCCATAGGAGAGACCAGCGCAGAGACTCAGCGCGGACCCAGTAACCTCCTGCAGCAGCAGTATATATGCCGTTGTTCTGTGGCCCGTGGATAAAGAAATGCCCCCTATAAATAGGAAGGGGTCACTAATACACGGCAAGATTTCCAATGTATTTGATAAAGCGTTGGCACATTTCATTTCAAAATGAATTAAAAAGTAGGCCAGATCTGCAGTGAAAAAGGCGGTATATAAATAAAGATTACTAATAAAGATTACTACAAATAAATAAATACATACATCGATATGACGGACATATCACTGGAATGTTGTATTTTTATTCAACTTCACCAAAGAGGACAACCCCGGCGTGTGAACATGTCGGCACTGAATGCGTACGAGTGCTCCTGAGGACTCGTAGGATTTGTACTTGCCCAAGTGAAATTCTGGTTACGAGAAATATTCGTGAATGCCACTTTCTTCGTAAAAACCGCGTAAGTAGGATTTACGTACAAATCTGTTCCTAAGAACCGTTCGTGAATGAGGCCCATTGTCTTCATAAACTCAGTATGTAAGATGCACTACCAAAATGGAAATGAGATGTGACACCTGTAGCTCCCATACACCGATTACTGATGCAATCCACCAGCTGGAGTTTAGATTAAACAGCACAAACTCTGAATTACATAAGAGTGCTTATTTTTCTATTTTTTTGCTTCATTTAAACAGATGTGGGGTGATCTACTTTAAACTTTTGATCAGAAAAGGTGAAATATAATGTGTGCACATGTTGACCTATTATTAGCAGACAATTTAATCATTATTATCTATAAATATAAAACAAATATTATTTTAGAATAGCATCTTTATTTTCCAAATCAAGCTGTTTCTTACATACCACTCGTGAAAAAGTAGGTACGTTGTTTTTTCTTGTTTTGTACAAAGAAGTCCAATGAATTCATCAAGTATTTGTATGAGAGGTGTGCGCCGTGTGCTTCTGACCTCTGTTTCTTTAAGAACTCGGAGAAAATGTTCAGACAGGTCTAAACGCTCAAACGAGTGGTCTCCATAGTACAAGTGGAGCGTTGGAAAGGTCAAGCACCCTCAATCAACACCAGTCTATAACTGTGCACTGGACTCGCCGAGTCACTGAGTGGTCCTCCAACCAAGATACAGTACATTGTTGTCATGTGAGACTTTTATAACCCACCTTCTTGTCAGATCTTGTTGAGTACTTATTTGATAGGAACAGTGCGTGTTGATAAACTGACATGATAGGAAAATAAAGAATAAAACATATAAGTAGTAAAATATATTGTGGTGATATTTTTGATTATTATTATTGCATTCCGATCTTTGATACCCTATGTTTAAGAAGTCTCCTTTTAAGGGAGTCCTCATAACAAATTAATAAATACAGTTCAGACCTATAGTACAACATGGATGCAAAACAACTTCCTTCAGCTAAACGCAGACAAAACTGAAATGATTGTCTTTGGTCCCCAGAAACAAAGAGAGAGCGTCATCTGTCACCTCCAGTCTCTCTCCCTAAAACCTTCAAACAAGGTCAGAAATCTAGGGGTAATACTGGACTCAGACTTAAATTTTAATCGCCACATCAAATCAGTAACATCAGCAGCTTTTTACCATCTAAAAAACATTGCCAGGATCAAAAACATAGTGTCTAAAGCAGACTTGGAGATCCATGCATTTGTCTCCAGTAGGTTAGACTACTGCAATGGCCTGCTCACAGGTTTGTCCAAACAGGCTGTAAAACAGCTGCAGTACATTCAAAATGCAGCAGCTCGAGTCCTGACTAGAACCAGGAAGGACGACCATATTAGTCCGGTCCTCAGGTCTCTGCACTGGCTTCCTGTGGCTCAGAGAATAGACTTTAAAACAGCTCTGCTTGTGTACAAGTCTCTCCATGGCCTCGCACCAAAATATATTAGTGACATGTTAGTCCCATATGAACCAGCCCGGACTCTGAGGAGCACAGGGACTGGACTCCTGTTAGTGCCCAGAGTCAGAACTAAACATGGGGAGGCTGCTTTTCAGATTCATGCTGCTAAAATCTGGAACAATCTTCCTGAAGATGTGAGACAGGCCTCCTCTCTGACAATGTTTAAAACCAGGTTAAAAACAGTTCTGTTTAGCTGTGCATACAACTGAGGGATTTTATATTTATCTTTTTTTTTTTTTTTTTTTATGTACTGTGATTATTTATGATTTTAATGCTTTCTTGTTTTGTTCAGCGCTTTGAGTTGCCTTGTCTATGAATTGTGCTATACAAATAAACTTGCCTTGCCTTGCCATTATTTTCCTTGTCGAAACTAAAAATGTTCAATGCAAAAATACATTTTTTACACTTTTTATCTTAGATGTGCAACACATTTTGACAGTTTTGGCTCAGAATGAGAAAATAATGCTTCTGCAGACAACAAAACAAAAGATACTTGCTCGTTCCATTGACAAATCCCCCAAATTCAAGTGATGTTTTGCGTATCCCCAGTTCTTTTCTTGTTTCCAAAGAACCATAGCGCATGTATTCAAATGTAGACCACATTTGAATACATGCGCTATAGTTCTTTGGAAACAAGAAAAGAACTGGGGATACGCAAAACATCACTTGAATTTGGGGGATTTGTCAATGGAATGAAAATGGCAAATGACATGAATCTGAAATCGCCAAGACAAACAATTATTTAAATGTGATTGTGCTTAATTAAGTTCTAACCAAAGGCAATATTTTAACCAACCAAAATACGAAATATAACATTAATCCTTCTCACACGGGCCATAGTCCACCCACACACAATACAATACCACTGCTCAGTCTATTTCTCAGTCCGTTACTGCATCCCACCACTGCAGTGTAACAACTCATCCCATTATTGTTCACATTGGGGCAAAATCCAAGATCTAAACCAGTTGTAGCCCATTTAGTGAAGGGAGTAAAAAACTTCAAATGCATGTGTTCCCTCTTTTGTAACAGTTGTCACTTCTGTATGTAGCTTCTGTATCAAAACCACAACAAAAAGACGAGATGAGGTACAATATTTTTGGGAAATTTGGGCTTTTGCACGTTCTGCTCTTTCTTCAACAAAGTTGTAAGTTTGGCTGAAATCTCTTATGTAGGGTCCTGGGTGCATTGGAAGTTGTTTTGACCCTTTAATGTCATTCTTGTCTTGCCAGTGGTGAAAAACTGACTGGTCCAAACACCACAGAAACCATAGCCACTGCGTCTCAATCTAAAAATGAAAATGTCTTTCAAGTGTCCAAAAAGATTACTGTATGCATTTTGATACATATTTAGTAGGCAGAATATGCTGTGTTGAATATAAATTGTCGGCTTAATCTTTGGTGAAAGAAAACTTTTCTTGTCGCCCCAAAGTTGTCAAGCACCACTTCACAATCAGACCTCCGCACAAGTACAATATGCCATTATACAAACCTATATTTCCTGTTCAAAGATCTCGCCATTTCACATTATCTGCCAAGTTGACTGGAGCGAGTGGTAATATTTCATTGTCATTTCTTGCGTTGATAGAAATGTTGGACTCAGCACTGTCAAAACAAGCGGCAGAGATTCATGCTCGGCTGAATGTTGGACCATCACCAGAATATTGATCAGCTATCGCTCTACTGCATCTCTGCTTATTTACATACTGCACATCTCCTGCATGTACAGCATTAGCAAGTAAATAGCCCAGGACATGTTCATACTAAGAATGACAGAATTACATATAGTTTTTTTTAACACAAACCACAGCCATACTGGATACTTTCAATGTTTTTATGTATGTTTTATTATGTGTGCCCTGTTACAAATATATTTATATTTGCTTGTTAATGCACTTTGGGGATTATGTGTTGCTCTATTCATATATGCAAAGTTGTAAGTATGTATACATGCAGTGGGGCAATAAGAAGTTAGTCAGCCCGTGCTCCCGCTTAAACAGATGAACTGTTATTATTGACCAAATACTTATTTTAATTTAAAATCACCATGATTTGCAAACAAATTCTTTAAAAATCAGACAATGGGATTTTCTGGATTTCTTTTTCCCCATTAGGCCCAAAGACCATTGATCTACAACTGAGCCGCTGTCACCCCTTACTAATAACTCTAATATACTGTCCCTTTAATTATGTTTACATATGTTCTTGTCCCAGTTTTGTGCTTTTTGTCAAAATTATTGATATATTCTTGTTTCTGACATACTTATGGACAGGATATCAACTTTGTTTGAGTGTTCTGAGCAATTTCATGGACAGACATCTTCTTTCTGCAAGTTTCCACGGGGGGACAAATCTTTCTTACCTTGTACTTTTATGCATGTTGCTTTTAATGCAAGCACCAATACTTTTACTTAATACTTAATCACAAAAAATGTCACTGTAAGTCACAATTTGACTAGTAATAGCATAAGGACATTGCCATCTGTGTATGAATGACAGAACGATTTTAGTCAAGGCAAGTTTTTGTTTCTATAAGACAGTTCTGGCAGCACTGGCTTTGCAGCTGTTGGGAGTCCTGGCATTCGTGGGGTGTGTGGTGTGTGTGTGTAAGTGTGTGTACGTGTGTGTGTTTGCATTCAAAGAACATACAGGGAATTTTCATAGCAGTTTTTTGGAGTGTGGAGCCGGCACACTGCAGCTCTATTTGTTCACCTGTTTCATGTGTGGGCAGATTCTCCGGCTCACACACTCTACTGCCACATCTACAAATCACTTTAAAGTTTAAAAGGCAAGGTGTGAGACGATATAGGGTCAGAGCACAACTTTCATCTGAATATAGTACAATGCAATGCAAGCCGGAGCGATAGCCACCTGGTACAAACTAATTCCCCACCATCTGAAAGTATGTGGGAGACTATTTATTACTATGGAACATTTACTATTTTTTTTAATGAAATCTCCAAACGGATTGAAGATATTGAAGAAATGAAATTAAAATTAAATCAAATCAAAGTGTCAACTTAATTTGACATCACAAAAAATAACGCACAATGGAAAAGTTTTACACGTTTTTGGAAGAGTTGTTTTCTTTATTTGAAAACAGTTGTATTACATACGTATACAATTGACGAAAGGATTCCTGTGAGGTCTACACCAACTATCCTTCTACATTGTCCAAATTTACGCCAAAAATACAAGAAGAGCAAGACCTACTGACCACTGCAATAATGCTTGCATAATACTTGTCCAGGGCAAATTTTGGGCTACAGAGTTATTCTTGTCGTCAGTTAATCAGTGGTTTCTTATTGGACAACACAAATGTCCTGTGAATGGAGGCACAAACAGGTGTTATATTAACCCTGGACAATGAATGTATTCTGCAGCGATGATGTTCACACTTTGTTGGCCCACGCATTAAAGACTTACATGATTTTTTGTCTATACTCCCTTGTCCAGCTTCTGTCTTGCAGGCCAACCACTTGTGAATTTTTGGTTCATTCATAACCATGCTTGATGACTGATTTCATGATTTCATGACTGGTGGAAAGGCCATGACATAGAATAACCTTACTTCATATTGTTCTCAGTAAAAAGTGTTGATGTAAGAACGTTTTATGTTTCTACTTAAATCTCAGTTTCTTGATAGGTCAAAGAGGCAATTGGCAATACCCAACAATTAAATACTTAAAATGATCAGAAAATGTTTATTTGAGGGCAGAGCATAATTCAGTGACGGTTCTTTTAAACTTGTCTACTGTCAATCGTCTGTCAGTAAAACACTGTTGAGAGAGCAGAGTATTTCAAGGCCACACTTTGACAATGCATATATTAAATGGCACCAAGCTTTCATGCTTTTGAAATGCTCTTAAAAATAAATTATATTCTATTTTTCCAGAGAAGCATGAACAATGTATGAAACGTCCTTTAGCGCTGAGTTTAAATCCAAAATCCAACAGAGCTTTTCTCTTTGAAGTTTGCACGTTCTGTAAAAGTCTGTCTCCACCCGTAAGATCTTTTTATTACCATTATACCACAACAGTTTGTCCAATGATTACAAACAGACTCATCGTTCTGCTCAACTACAGCAGAACTCAGAGCCAGTGGTTTCAAAGAACCCATTACTATTCCGACTACATACTGCTCTGTTCCTGCGAGACCAAAGTTATCTGAAGCCCAAAGATGCCTCCAAACCGTGATTAACATTTTCTGTTCATTATTCTTCAAAGTTTCAGATGTACGCTTGTTACATTCTGGCCTGGAGGAGTTTTCGGTTGCTACATACACATAAGCGTTATGTTGGTCTCAGCCTCACTTTGATATTTTTAGTAAAGGAAATGTGCAAAGCAAGGCAAAACAAAACACAGAAAAGCTACCATGACAAGATGTTTGTTTGGACGTGACCACATAAAACAAAAGCCTATGAGAAAATGAGGCATGAATAAGCATCTACAGGCTTTTATACAAACAATATGAGACGAGGCGAAAGAAAAAAAATGAAACTACTGTTGGTAAAACAAGAATACCAATGAAGTGTTAGATAAAGTTATTATAGCCACATTACTGTAGTCTATACGAGGTCTATGTCATCATCAAGTTCAAACTAATACTTTTTTTTCAATAACTGACTACTCAAAAACTGAATATATTTATACTAAACTATATTTCTGCATATTTTCACCGTTGTTATATGTATATATTTTAAGCATTCACTTTTGAACTGTTTGAGCTAGTGTGTAAGTAATTTTACTTACAGTGAATAAATACAGTTTATAAGTCTAACTTTATTTATTGAGAGGTGTTATTTCAACCCACAAACAGGAAAGTATATGCATAGAGAATATGAGGGATTTTAAATAAGTAAGTAATCTTTATATACCACCTTTTCACAGACTAGAGTCACAAATCCGTTTACAATTGTGGGCAGTTGCCTCTCACTCCACACAGAGATGGAGTGAGAGTACAGTATGCCAGACCTATTGTATATGTTTTTTGTGGTAGGGGAAACCGGATCACCTGGAGGAAACTTACGCAGACACAGGGAGAACATGCAAACTCCACTCAGAAAGGCCCTGTTCCGACTAGAATTTGAACCCAGGATCTTCTTGCTGAGAAGCGAGAGTGCTATCCACTCAGCTACCGTGCCGATTGTGTAAATCTAACTGCATTTTGTTGCATTGGTCTGACTTTGTAATGAAAATAAAGATATTTCTAATCTAAATGAAAAAATCTCTTGTTTATAATGGTTAAATAGTCTGTACTGGAGGAAAAAATATTTGAATCGTCTATGGTTGTTTTACTTCAGCTTTATCCGGGTCAAACTTTTGCATCTGCGTTCTAAACAACTAATCGATTCATTGGAAAAAATAATCAAAAGTTAAATTTTTAATCCATACTAGCACTTTTACTATCACTATTAGGTAGAAGTAACAACACGACAAACAATAGGAATTACTAAAGGCATTTAAAATCAATGACATGTTACTTACTGATTAACAGTTAATAGTTTTGTGGTTTGAAAATTAAGTAGCCCAGCTTTAAAAAAAATATCACTATGTACTGCTATGGCCTGCTTGTCTATCTTTCTAATGAAAATATATTATGATTCAATTCCATACAATATACAAACCTGCCTGAATATTACACAGAAGTAAAGTACCAGGACTTTCATGATCGAACGCTGCCCCCTACTGGACTAAAGTAGAATCTCCTTCAGACTCCTGTGCACACTTGATTTATGTAATATGCAAATGTGCACAGTGGCACAAAGCAAAGAAAGTAAACGCCACAGCACTTTTATATGTGTGAAACTGGAAAACTCAAAAATAACAAAGAATTATACAAGAGACAGCCATTAGCACCCCAATACGAAAGTGACACTGATGCTCCGCCAACTCACACACATCTCGAGCCAGTCTTTCCTCAGGCGTTTTGATTTTTTAATTTATTTCGGGGCTTTTGTAAACGGTAGCCATGGTGCGGAGTAGAATTAAGGAGGTGTGAAAGGAGGCAAAGGAGCAGCATGGTGTTCACGGATTGGTAAAATGCAGAAATTGTGTGGATGTGTGTGTTTGTACCTGACAGTGCGGGTGTGGGTTGGAGCAGCCCATCATGGCGCCCTTGTTCTCAAAGATCTAAAAGAAAAGACAAAAACATTCGTATTTTAGTGCAGTGTTTCCCAACTGGGGTACGCAGGGCCCAAGGGGTACATGACATGATTTCCAAGTTGTTGAAAAACTTGAGGCAGTGTTAGAAAATTGTGCACAAATGTTGCACAAGTTCCCCCTGTGAATGATGGCATCTGATTGGTCAATCCTTTTGTAGCTTATCTGGATTTACAAAAACAATATAAACATATAAACAGCAGGCTCATAGAGAGTGGAAACTGTTTATAAGCCCAAAATGGTGAGTCTGATACGTGTTTGTACTGAGCAAGAGGAGTTCACTTTTACATGCAAGTCAATGGGAGGAAGAGTGAGTAGGAACAACACTTATTGAGCTATAGGGGGTTAGCATTGTCCGTCTATACCTTAGTATAGTGCCTTGCGAAAGTATTCGGCCCCCTTGAACCTTTCAACATTTCGCCACATTTCAGGCTTCAAACATAAAGATATAAAAAAATATTTTTTTGTCAAGAATCAACAACAAGTGGGACACAATCCTGAAGTGGAACGAAATTTATTGGATAATTTAAACTTTTTTAACAAAAAACTTTTTCTGCAATTACAGCTGCAAGTTGCTTGGGGTATGTCTCTATCAGTTTTGCACATCAAGTGACTGGAATTCTGGCCCATTCTTCCTTGCAAAACAGCTCGAGCTCAGTGAGGTTGGATGGAGAGCGTTCGTGAACAGCAGTCTTCAGCTCTTTCCACAGATTCTCGATTGGATTCAGGTCTGGACTTTGACTTGGCCATTCTAACACCTGGATACGTCTATTTGTGAACCATTCCATTGTAGATTTGGCTTTATGTTTTGGATCATTGTCCTGTTGGAAGATAAATCTCCGTCCCAGTCTCAGGTCTTTTGCAGACTCCAACAGGTTTTCTTCCAGATTGGTCCTGTATTTGGCTCCATCCATCTTCCCATCAATTTTAGCCATCTTCCCTGTCCCTGCTGAAGAAAAGCAGGCCCAAACCATGATGCTGCCACCACCATGTTTGACAGTGGGGATGGTGTGTTCAGGGTGATGAGCTGTGTTGCTTTTACGCCAAACATATCGTTTTGCATTGTGGCCAAAAAGTTCGAGTTTGATTTCATCTGACCAGAGCACCTTCTTCCACATGTTTGGTGTGTCTCCCAGGTGGCTTGTGGCAAACTTTAAACAAGACTTTTTATGGATATCTTTGAGAAATGGCTTTCTTCTTGCCACTCTTCCATAAAGGCCAGATTTGTGCAGTGCATGACTGATTGTTGTCCTATGGACAGACTCTCCCACCTCAGCTGTAGTTATCCCACCTCAGCTGTAGTTCATCCAGAGTGATCATGGGCCTCTTGTCTGCATCTCTGATCAGTCTTCTCCTTGTTTGAAATGAAAGTTTGGAGGGACGGCCGGGTCTTGGTAGATTTGCAGTGGTCTGATACTCCTTCCATTTCAATATAATTGCTTGCACAGTGCTCCTTGAGATGTTTAAAGCTTGGGAAATCTTTTTGTATCCAAATCCGGCTTTAAACTTCTCCACAACAGTATCTCGGACCTGCCTGGTGTGTTCCTTTGTCTTCATGGTTCTCTCTGCGCTTTAAACAGAACCCTGAGACTATCAAAGAGCAGGTGCATTTATACGGAGAATTGATTACACACAGGTGCATTCTATTTATCATCATCAGTCATTTAGGACAACATTGGATCATTCAAAGATCCTCACTGAACTTCTGGACTGAGTTTGCTGCACTGAAAGTAAAGGGGCCGAATAATATTGCACGCCCCACTTTTCAGTTTTTTTATTTGTTAAAAAAGTTTAAAGAATCCAATAAATGTCGTTACACTTCCCGATTGTGTCCCACTTGTTGTTGATTCATGACAAAAATTAAAATGTTATATCTTTATGTTTGAAATATGGCGAAATGTTGAAAGGTTCTAGGGGGCCGAATACTGTATATTGTCTATGGTTACATATTGTTTTACAGCTAATTCACTTGAGAAAACAACCACTCAATTCATGTTATAATAAACATTGAACACATGACATAATGAGTAGTAATATTTAGGCATCTTATTGTAAAGTGATAGACTTTCTAAAGCTGTGGTCACAAGCACAAACTGCAGCCTAGTTAGGCACAGATCGCGATTAGATCCGGGCTTTAGGTGCCATGTGGCCGCGGCAAGTGGGCTTGAGCATGATTGCTTCATTCGTGCTTCATGGGCACAGTTGAGAGTTGTGAAACTGAGCACGGTTGTAAATCCCAGATGAGGGTGGGGGGGAGTGGGGGGATGTGGTGTGGTGCGGAAAGTGATATTGTTAAAATATTAGCGTCACATTATGTCTTTGCTGTGACGTGCTTTTTCACACACGTTTCTCCCTGCAGTTGAAACTTTCGCATTCTCCTTTGCTTGCGTTACACCTTTCATGTAAGCCCCTGGACTGTGGTAAAGGGGCGCAGGCGAATGAGTTGCAATGTACAGCGCATTTGGGCTGGCACGGTTGAAAAAATAAACCCTTGTGACCGCGGGCCGTCTTCACACCCCTGTGTGAAGTGCCCATAGTTTGAAGTGCATACTTACGGCTTCCTCTGCTGGTGTCTTGTGTTGTAAGTTAAAGAAGAAATGGGATCCAACATTTTTTTCAGATACATTCTCTTCACAACATTTATCACACCTCATTTGCACAATTCTTGCCAAGGCTTGTTCTGGCTATTTCTAAAAGTCACTAGATGAATGCAAAATGACTGTTCACAGCACACGATGGGTTTTCTTAATAGGTCACATTGCAAAAGGTTCCTACAATCTGTTCATAATATGGAGAGAAGTTTAATGTGGTCTTTGGTGCTGAGCATAAGTGAAATGTAATAACTGTCTGTGTTGATGAATTTTGATTACTGGGTATGTAGGGAAGTAGGAGCTGCATCAGCATTAGCATTGGCATAATCGCATTATAATAACGGCATTATCTCTGTAAAATGAATACATAAATACAAACATAACAGTATCGTTTAACAAATTAATCAGCCTCATAAGAGTAAGAGAGTTATTTTTTGAAATAACAAATATCCAAAAAATCATAAATTAGCATTAGCATTACCTAAAGAATGCACAACATTTAAGACAGAATTATCCTTGAATTCCTGTCCAATCACTCTGTTCCTCTCAGTTTATTTTACTGACAGTGACCAAAGTTCAAAGTAAAATAGACTTAGGATATTATGATTACAAAAGTCTACAAATGAAGTTACCTGGACCCAAGGGTAGGTGGCTCCCAGTTCTTGAATAAGATCCGCCCACTTGTCAATCACCCTGACGACCTCTTCCTTCTTCATGAGCGGGAGAGTGACGTCTGACCACGGGTGAAAACACATGACTTTACTAATGGAGAAAGCAAAGACATGGTTAGTCGGAATCACAATGTGGCGCCCAGGAGGCATTCGATAACCTCAACTGGCTGCCTCAATGTGGAGAAGCAGCGGCTCTACTCCGAGCTCTTCCCATGTGACCGAGCTTTTAAGAGAGCGCCCAGCCACTCTGCGGAGGAAACCGATATACTCATTGCCCTAAGCTTGTGACCACGTAGATCAGGGGTGCCCAAACTTTTTAGTAGGAGGGCCACTTTAGCTCACTGTGATTGAAAACAAATGACAGTAAAAAATGCCTGAGCTTTACAGAGAGGTGCAGCATGACTATATTGGTGGAGTTGGCTGGATGACTCTGTGAAAGTACCACAATGGATGGTTTGTATTAGCAAGGCAGAGGGCCAAATAAATTGAAACACTGGGCCGCATTTGGTTGGACATGGTTTGGACATGCCTGACTAAGATGTACGGTAAATCAAGAGCTATTGCCTTTCGACCTGGCTCCCTCTTCACCACAACAGTCTGATACAGCTCTGACTGCAGACGCTGCTCCCTCTTCCCTCTTTTCACCACAACAGTCAAATACAGCCGACCGCATCACTCCACACACTGCTCTGATCAATCTTGTTCATTGAAATCTGAGCCCATCTAGGCTCGCTGCCATACGACATGGCACTAACTTATTTCCCTCAAGCATTCTCATAACTCCTCATAACATAGCACTTCAGTTCCAATTGCAAGCTACAAGTCTATCCAACCATTGTACTTGAGAGCAGAAACAAAAAGGGCCAAGCGACAGCCACAGCTCGTCATTAAGAATTTCCTCTTGAGACTCTGCCCAAAAATCCCAGTTCCCTTTTGTTTGTCCTCTAATTGGCTTTGTGAATGTCACTGCAGGCAAGAATCGGCACAAACTCCTCACCGAAACGCCCCCCAGAGGCTCAGTGGGCCGACAATACACTGGAAGCAAACAAATATCTCATAAATTACGAAGACAGCAATTGAATGGACAAGTATCTCCTATAGCTGACAGTCAGTATTGCGACAATGTGGGCGGATGCACAATGTTCGGATTTGATCTATTATTTATCGATTGAGTAACAACGCTGTCAGGCAGGATCAGGCACTATTCCCATAATGTCACAATGTTCGTGAATGTGTTTAAATTTTAAAACAAAAGCCAGAGGCACATTCATCAACAAATGCATGAGGAGGTAGAAAGTACTTTGGGGATATGCCTTTTATAATCAAGCTTTGAGCATTGTTGGAATATTTCAGAGTTAGGGATGTAAATCGGCGACCGTTTAACCGGTGGTTGACCGTCACGTTAACGGTCAAAGCTGTCGGTTAAAAAAGAGAAAAAGGGGAGAGGGGAGGTCTCTTAATAACGCTATTTTAAGCCCTATTTGCACGGTGTGACGAGCGGGTCCATATCTAGCTGTGTGCGCCCATGTATTATAAACTCCGGGACGACTCTCACGCCGCACGCGCCACATATGCACACACGCGCGCACACACACACACGCGCACATACACACACACACACACACTTTCCCCCTCTCCATACGTAACATCCACACGCATCATCTGTCCTCTCTGTTACCGTCAAAGTTGCACACTGGCGCGAGTCAGAACTACATTGGAGCTTACATTTACACACACACACATATACATACACACACACACACATACACACACACACACACACACACACACATACACACACACATACCGGTCTGTCGCGCTCCTCTGTGTCACGGAGCCCAAAGGATTCGCGCAAATACGCGGCTCCAGTCAAACCACATGGAACATGTTTCTGTTTATGGTCCTCGGCATCAGCTCCACACACATCACTTGTATTTAAACTTTTGTGAAGACCTGTGAGACGCGGCTCGTCACTCGCTGCTCTGACCATGTGAACGAGCCGTCGTTTGCTGCTAGAAAGTTTTGGTATTAACCCGCAGCACAGCAGAATGGAAGATTAAAAAAGCAGTTCTCTGTGCGCAAAGGTGCCGGAGCTGTTGCGGGTTTGGGCGCCGCTGTCTCAACTCTGATCCAGTAGAACGCAGAGCTGCACTTATGAAAAGTACGCGGCTCGAAATGGCTGTTATTTCACAGAACGTGGACTATTTTAAACTACGCGGTTAACCGGTTTCAACCGGTTAATGAGGCTCGGTGGTCGGTCATGAAAATTCATAGTTTTTTACATCCCTATTCAGAGTTGTATTTTGTTTCATAATTCATTGTTTATTTGATAAGGACGGTTGCAACAGAGTTCACCGTATCAAAATCTGTGGTCGGAATCACAATGAGCATTGGCTAATTGGCAACACCAGCGCCTTTAAAAGCAGGGGCGGTCCTGGTCTTTAAGGGGGTTATGGTGAGCAAGCAAGACTTCTAGGGGCCCGTTTCAGAGCAACTCACTCAGGCTTATCAACGGGTCCCAAGAATTTTTCCTACTGCTGACCCATTTATTTTGTTGTTGTGTTGAACTGAACAATGGGAAAGGTGGGCGCGTTGTTTACCAGACAGGTAAGTAAGCTGTAACAACATGTAGTTAGATGTTAACAGTAATAACATCGCTAACTTAGTTTTCTGATATAAAAGAACCTAATACTTTTATTTCTAGTAAGAAAACTAAACCACAGGATAAAAGGATCAAAATAAATTTCAAAAGCGGCCTTCTAAAGTCACAGCGCAGTACTCCCAGGACCACAGGAATTGCATTACAATGGGCTATTGAAAGTTTATCATCCCATTTGAACCTTATTAACACGTTCAAATATATTCTTTACGTTTGTAACTTTATAAAGGAAATAGCAGCTCGTCCAACAGCCCAAACTTTGATGGTAAGAGCTTCACTCTTGTTGCACGGCTTGTTACGCAGTAAGTATTGTCCCTCATGTTACATATGTGTAGTTTAAGTTTTACAACCTTCTTCATCTGACCCACATGAAAGCAGCGTTCTATGAAACAGTTTGTTTTTTATTGCTGTCTAAATAAAAGCTACATATAAAAGCTATAAAAGACTAGGTTGCAAGATGGGTCGAGCAGTACGTCATTTTGGCACGCCAGCCCAAGTCACTCAATGTCTAAGGAAAGGGCGACCTGGGGTTTTTGAAATTATTTTTGCGCAGTGGGAATGAGGCTATGGTACATTTTACAACATGGCACAAATCAAGGGGTACCAACATAACTATTTTATAGTTTCATTTTGACAATGTTGACAGTTTGTTGGAACATGGAGAGATGAGCCTGTAAAGAGGAAGCTTTTGTGTGGTGTTTTGAGTTAGAAACCATTCAATAACGATTAAAAAAAGACAAGGGCACATGCATAGTTCTGGGCCTCCTCCTCCTCCCTCGGGGCAGGACTGAGCTCAACCCAATTTAACCACGGCAACAGCTGGATGGGAGTCGAAACGGCCCTTCACTGAACACATTACCCAGATAAAACTTTTTGAAACTTTCTCTGTGATGAAAATTTTTTATGTTCACCATAGTTTCTAAATGGGCGGCACGATGGCTGAGTGGATAGCACTCTTGCCTCTCAGCAAGAAGGTCCTGGGTTCGAATCCCGGGCGGACCAGGGCCTTTCTGAGTGGAGTTTGCATGTTCTCTCTGTGTCTGCGTAGGTTTCCTCCGGGTACTCCGGTTTCCCCTACCACTAAAAACATGCACAATAGTTCTGGCATGTGCCTCCTGTTCGGCGACCCCACTCCCATCTCTGTGTGGAGTGAGTGGACCAATGCCCAAAAATAATAACAATTGTAAACCGCTTTGTGACTCTGGTCTGTGAAAGGCGGTATATAAATAAAGATTACATACTTACTTACTAAATGCACACTAGTGGGTCTCTATGCAGCTGCTCAATGTGCTTACGGAACGTCCAATGCAATAATATGATTTGCAACAATAAAAAACATTCAAGGTGTTGCCTAAACTTTTTTTCACGTTTGTGTCTTGTTGTGTGCTCCAGGATCAATTGTTTTGTAGGTTTTCTGGTGCAGGGGTCTCATAGCAGAGACATTCTTCCAAACAAATGATCCTATAGCATTCTAGAGATCATTGTGATGGAAGGAAAAGGGACGTTGATGATCACTCATACAGCCACTGGGACACTACAATGTCAAAAAAATATCCTATTCTCACAACCCTTTTATTGAACTATTGTCTATATTTTAACCTAAACATGCCCCTACAATCTTCAAAACTATACTCTCACTGGTCAAACAAAGTAAACCAATCACAAGCTATAGGGATACATGATAATTTAACTGTTAACCAATAATATTTTGTCATTTGTCACTTATAACCAATAATAGAAATTTGATAATACGTTTTGAAATTAATCTTGTTTTCACAAAGGTTTGTGTTTTGCAGATTGTAGAAATGGTTGTGCTTTTTGTGATTATTATAAAATTACCTCGCAAAGTGGTTGACCTAAAATAATGTTATATTTAATCAAGCTAGAATTGGTTCCACTGCTTGAATTGGATTTAGAAGGTGTAGAGATCATGTAGTCAGATTGGTGGAGCAACATCTCCATCTCCTGGTTAAATTCAGAGGTGCAATGAAATTATCAAACAATTTCATTGTTTTTGAAATATTGCAAACACATGTAGTTTTCCAAATCATTTGGAAGTCAATTGCCTTAAAATATTACAGTACATTCAAGTCTAAATTTTGTCACTTTTTTATTATAACTGAAATATTACATGTTTTAGTTTGGAAATATATTAATTTTTAAAAACAGAAACATATTTCTTACCAGACACCTTGAGCAGATTTGGATTGAAAGAGTGGGTGCTGATCAGTACCTAAAACACAAAAGTTTACCAATTATATCTTGAATACTTAATTGTGGCATTTTACAATTTGTCGAGTCAAAAAATCCTCCTCACCAGGACTTGGAGCGTCAGGCTGCAGTGCTGGGAAGTCATTTGGAAAAACAAAGGTGCTCTCGTAGTCTGGATTCACCTTCGCACAAAAAAGAGGAGAATTCAAACAAAGTGACCTGAACAAATGTCCAAATTAGAACAATGCTGGAAAAATATCTAGCTCATTTACTGTATCTCAGAACAGCTTTACAGCATGGTTAACTGTGGCTCTCTCACTGAAATGTTTGAGCACCCCTGTCGTACACAATCTTCACACATTTCAGGTCAAGTTTAACATAGTTGTAACCTATAGTTCAACCATTTTTTGTAGAAGTAAAATTTTCACTGCAAAAATGTTCAATAAATATTAATTGTCTCTGATGATGTACTTGGCCCGTCTAATCACTGACTGCTCAAAAATAGTCTGAGGTGAGAATAGAGTGGACAGTGACACTCCCATGATCTTCCCGGCTAGTTTTTGCAGCCTCTGGATCTGAGATTTGTATTTCACTGTGAGGTTACCAAACCAGCTCACGATTCTGTATCTCAATATAGATTCAATACTCGCTCTATAGAAGGTCAACATAACATTTTGGCTCACTCCAAATACTCTAAGCCTACGAAGAAAGTACAGCCGCATCTTTGCACAGATATTCAACACATGATTGTGCCAACACAGTTCATTGTCCATTTCCACCCCAAGGTACCGATTGTTTATTTGTGCGTCCTAATTCCAAATAATGCTGTGATGACTGACCTCTCCATTAGCGCGTGCGTTCCCGGGGCACAAGGGGTTATGGGGGTCGTGTCTGGGGATGTGCTCCTCCGGGGGCTTCTCCACCTGACCGGCCCAGGGCCTCTTCATGCGGTGGGCTGACACAAGCACCCAGCTGTCCCTGAGAGGGTTGTACCGCAGGTGCTGGTGCTCTGGAGGCAGAGATGAGGGCAAGATGGGTTTAATAGCACAATGTTTGAACATTTTAGATGATTGGTAATTGTGTTGTTGTGACAGCATGTTGTTCAGGTGAACCAACTTGGACATTATTTGAAAGCGTTGTGTGATTTTTCTTTTACGGTTTTAATAAGCACTTTGAGGTGCCTTGTTTATGATTTGTGCTGAACGAATAAACTTACCTGGTGTGATAAATAAATTAGTCTTGAATCAAAATAGTTTGTAGTGGATTAGATACTTTCTGGATTTGTCCTCTATTAGAGTGAAACCTCCAAGAGCGTTATTGATAATAACAGGAATACATAATTTCAAATATTATCCTTTAGTATAAAGTCTTTTCAATATCAACATTATGTGTAAAACTCTATATATGCAATAACTAAAACCCAAGCAATGAACACAATGTAAGCCCAGGGCTGGACAAACAATAGATCTAGAAAATCTATGCACTCAAATAATTAAACTTCGCGTTGGAATTTGACCGATTAACAAATAATTGGTGAGTAAATCAGATAAAAGTCCAGTGTAAGCACTGAGACAGAACAAAGTGAAGGAAGTTACTAAGAATACACCTTGTGTGTTTTTATGTCAAAAATGCACTTATAGCTGGACAAAATGACTTTGATCATTTACCGAAATACCAAATCCGACTTTTGTTTACATTTGCTGGATCACAGAACATATCATATTTTATCCATTCAAAACAGACTAGAACTTTTCACATTATCTTGACAACAACCGTCCTTACCTTTGGGATCAAACTCTTCTGAATTGCTCATGGTGTTTATTTTCTTTGAAAGCAATATTATGTTGTGAGAATTATCATCTACTGATCTCATAAAATAGAGTCATGGTCCAAAACCAAACGTGGAATTTGTGTTTGTCTTCCTGTTTTTGACAGCAAAGCACGGGAGCCATATTGGGTAAAATCCACACTTTTTTACAACATATGTAAAAGTATCAAAAACATAACAATTAGAGATAAATAACTTAAGTTCTAAATATATTGGAACATAAGCGTTGTTTTCAAGCACAGTATTTGTTATTGCCTTTAAAACAAACGTTCACAACCTGAAGATAATCACACGTTCTGGCAACACAACATAATCCCCGCCTCTTCATTCATTATGATTTTGTGATTGGTCAGTTTGCGTTTGCCCGCCCCCATGTGACATTGGAGGTTTGTCACTTCTAGAAAGAGCCTTTCCATGGCATCCATCGTTCCAGCCGCCACATTGCAAGTTCAAAACATAGAACTGCATATCCAGTTACAGACATGGATGTATCGTTCCAAACTAAATGGAGTGAAATAGTAACATAGTACCTAAAAGATGTAAAACATGATATGATTATATTGAAAGACAACACATTCATTTTATATAAATATGAATACACATCCAGGCAACAGGAACTCTCAAGCAAAAAATGGCAGCGCCAGAGTGGAATGCACCTTTTGGAATACATGAAAAAGTCAAAAAGAAAAAAGGGCTGAGCGCTCCCTTAGAGACAGGGGGAAGATCACAGTGGAGATGCTCGAAGTATTGCAGCTGCTTCTGATTGATAGGACCCAGTTGAGGTGGTTCCATAGACTGTATGGCTCATGCATCTGTTCTTCGGACACCTCCTTGAGGAACACCTGTTCTGGGCATGTCCCACCCATTGACTCCAGGAGGAGACTGTGGGGAATACTCGGGACACATTGGAGGGACTAACCCAGTGGTGGGAAAACCCCGGCCAGTTGGGCCAGATGCGGCCCTTTGGATGCTTCTATCAGGCCCCTGAAGCCTCCTCAATTTATATAGATTAAGATTAAGAGAGAATAGGAATAAGAATATTTATTCATCCCACAGTGGGGTAATCTCAGTTTAAACACCATACAATCCCCCTCTGTGCTGTGTGCAGAGCTATTTTTTCATATAAACAATACATTTTTTTTTTAAATGAAGCCTGAGAAAAACATTGGAATATCAGGCGGCTGTCGGGATCCGGACCTAATTTCCAATGTGGCCCTCAGGAGGAAAAGTTTGCCCATGTCTGGACTAACCTGTCTTGCTTCCCCCAGCGGCTATTCCACCTCTCCTTCTGTGACCTAAAATGCTGTTGTATTTTAGTACTGTTAGCTATTTTCAGAATGATCCATTTATTTGTTTTGTTTGTATGAATGCATGTGTTTGTGCTGCTACTGGACACCGGAATTTCTTTTACGGGGATCAACAAAGTATCTATCTATCTATCTATCCACTGTAAAAGCTGTAGGAAGTGTGTGAGGATAGGGAAGACGGCGGGGCCATCTAGCAATGAATAAAGCAGAAGATCGATTGTTACCATAGACTGTTCTGTGCTAACTTTCAATACACAAGATGGCCGCCAAAATGTCAGCAGACCAGAAGGCCGCCAGCTCTCTCCCTAATCCCTGATCTGACAGTATTTACGATCTATGGTCTGTCCCTATCTACGGTGGTGGCGTGTTCACGGTCCTGTGCACATGTAGCTGTCTTTTTCACACATTTTTACATGTTGTTGGTCCAGTTTGCGCCATGGCTCTGTTCAAACTTCTTCTAACTCTGCTACTTTTCCTCTCCACCTCCACATTATCTGTCATTCTGCTACAGTATACGATAGCGAACAAGGAATACATTTTTGACAGAGAAGAGATCGCCAAATTAGCCAAACAGTACGCAGGTGAGCGGGGAATGACGGGAACTTTCATGACGGATCAATTCTTGTATTTGACATTTTTTTGTATAATTTATAATTTCAGGGCAAGATCATGAGCAGGCCTTCTCCAAAGTGGTCGTGGAGCTGAGGAAAAGGTAATAATAACTTTTAACTGCTAATTTGTAATGGATCAGAATAAAATCTTAAATATTTAGCCCCGTTTCCACCAGCCTCTATTCGGCCCTGCTCTGCTCTGCTCTGCTCTGCTCTAACTGGTTGCATTATGCTTTAGTATCTGGTACTGTAACCTTGTAACATGCCTATAACAAACCAGTATCCATAGAAATTCCTTGGTAACCATGGCTTCTAGCAGCAGTCTGGCCAATCGCTGTCAGGACACTTTAGCACCAGCTTGGCCTGGAAAGAACCAGGGCCAAGCAGGTACTGAAAACTACCTGGTACCAGTTAAGCAGTGCTTGTTGAAACACTCCCAATCAGGGTAGAGTACGGCCGAGTAGGGCTGGTGGAAACATGCCCTACTCGCTAAATAGTATATTGAAAAGCCTGCAATTATAAGAAAAAACGAATAATAAATAAAAGAAAGATTAATTCAAAAATTGCACATTTTGTGCCTAATTTTAATTGTGGAATGTGTTGATCTGCCGATACATTGTATGTCAGAATTTCTATTCTTATTAATAATACTGTTTTGAATGAGTGAAATATTTATTTCAAAACTTCCACACATAATTTTCACAGGAAACGAGAAAACCAAAGCACGTACAGGGATTGAAAAGGGGTTGGAGGAAGCAAAACGCTTATATTAATCCAAACCTCCCTCACCCAGACATTGGTAAATCTTAAAACCAACATGTCCTTAAAGCTGAGGTACCTAACTTTAGCGCTGTTGCCCTAAGCTTCAAATGGTGACTCAGGGCTCTTTCTTATGTATGCATATCATGTTTTATAAGGTAAAGACAGTGTTTTGTCATTATTAATCATTTTTAATCATTACATATCGAAACTAAATCTATGATCACAATGCTAGTAAACTTGTGCAAGCCTAATAAAGACGAGACGTTTTTATTGCTTCTCCTATATTGCAGTGGTTAGAAATGTCTCTTCAGATTGTAGCAGCTTTTAACCGATAAAGCAATGAAAGAAGTAAAGCAAATCTACACTGTTTATTGTGTGAAATTGTTCATATAATATACTGACTTTGACTTTTGTATTACTTGTTTGCCCCATATACCAAAAACAATTCCTTGTTTAGGACTTTCTTTTTCATGCAATTAAACTAGTTCATTATGTTTCTCATTTATTTTGTCCTCTTTACTTTTGTCCTTTTTGACACTCGTAGCTTGAAAACTTGTAGATTAGTGGTTTGAGTTTAGCCTGTAAATGTCAACCTAGTTCTATTTGTACAGGAATGTTTGTAGTATGGATTGGTTTTCCCCACACGCATTTTTGCCCTAAACTAGTCATTTTTCTTAAAGCGAATGGAAATGCATGCCACTGGCACCGACACTAACCTTAATTTACAATCTTTCTTTAACTTGTTATAAAGTTATTTTTGTAAAGTCACAAGCTGAATTCAACAATTTCCGATCTAATAAACATTTTGTAATTATTTCACAAACCCATTTCTCCAGTTGTATGTAGTAAATTAAAGCTTGGGTACATGCGGTAACTTCCAAACCACAAATACCTGTAGATAGATGTCAGTACATCCATTCAACTTGGACCTCGCTCTCAAAACGGTTTGGTTCTCTCCCTAGTTTTCACATGCAAGTATTTTTTTATCCTCTGTTTACGTCTTTAGATCAGCTTTTTCACACAGAAAAGCAAAAAAGGACAGAGCCACCCTCTCACCAAATCTGCTCTCAGCCAAAAATGGGCCAATTTTTGACTTTTCTCACAAATTGGCAAAATACAACGTATTTGTTCTAATGAGATGAATAGGGCATGTTTGTTCACAACCTTGAAGATCAGCAGCAATGAGAGTGTGCGTTGCAGATACCCAGGCCACATCCTCCCAGACGAGGACCTCCAGTGGGTGTTTGTGAACGCGGGCGGCTGGATGGGCTCCATGTGTCTGTTGCACGCCTCCCTCACAGAGTACCTGCTGCTTTTCGGCACCGCGGTGGACACCGGCGGACACTCTGGTACGGACAGACAACATAAAAGTATTTCAGATTATAGAAGCTGGTACATTCACCAGTGTTGCGTGGCGTTCCAGGGCGTTACTGGGCGGAGATCTCGGACACTGTAATCTCTGGAACTTTCCGCCAGTGGAAGGAGGGCACAACCAAGAGTGAAGTCTACTATCCTGGTTAGTGCTTCTAGTTTCAATTAAAAATGGAACATGTGTAATTGATTTTTAAAGTTTTAATTTTGTGAGATAAATAAAGCATATCTTATCTTAAAAATTACATGAAACTGTAGCACAGAACTTATTTCATTGTTTTTTTTTCACTTGCTGCTCATTCTGTTCTGAAGAGGAAACAGTTTAGAGAGCATTGAATGTAAATCGTAAATCTAAATTTGGATTTAGTATTATTTTGCAAGAGCAGTTTATCCTCATTGTGTACAGAGTGAATGGATGCCATGTGGTTGTAATATACAAGTGTAATGTAACATTATATTATGACCTCTACCAAATACATACATTAAATACACGTTCCTCTCCAGGTGACTTTATCGTTCACTCAGTCGGGGAGGCCACCTCGGTGCAGTGGAGCGCGGGCACCTGGATGGTGGAGTACGGTCGCGGCTTCATCCCTTCCACACTGGGCTTCGCTCTGGCCGACACCCTGTTCAGCACCCAGGACTTTGTTACCCTGTTCTACACACTGCGCGTTTACGTCAAGGCGCTGATGCTGGAGACAACCACGCAGCTCACAGAGGCTGGCGTCCTCTGAGGCACAAGAGACGGATGTCAACCAAAACACACAAAGAAGTGTGTGCCAGATCCAGACAATCGAAAACCAATGGATTCAGACAATTTCAAGTGTTTCTCGGGGCTGTGTCTGAACGTCCTAACATAATCTCTTTTGAGCAGACAATGGTGCATTCACAAAGCGATTTATACTCTTGGCTCATTCTGAAAATTATGGGCTCTCATGTTGAATTTCAAAATGGGCTGGAGATGGGAATGATGTTTTGTCATCCAACATTCAGTTTTCAAACTGACAAAGACTGTATTAATAGTAGTAGTATTTGAATGAGGCGTTCTTCTGTCTTCCATTTGCTATAGACCAGTCTAATCCAATGCTTTTTAGGGCTTCTTGAACAGTGACTATCTCCATACACTCCAAAGATGTATTTTGACACTGTTTTCATTAATTTCACACTGGACATTTTCGACACCATAAAGATTGCGTGGACATTCGGATGCAGCCTTGATCTTAATCTGTTTTTAAAATGCATTCCCATTAAGGTTGAGGTATAAAACATAAAATTCACTTGATTAAATTATTTTTCTAGATAAAGTTAATGTATTCATACAAACATACCTTTTATTATGTCAAAACACATTTTTTAAATGTTTGAAACTGTACTGTACATCACTAATTAATCTGCCTCATCTTGTTCTGTCATTTTAATCTTTTGTGCGTTTGTGAATACATTAAATTATTGCAAAAAGCAAAAATTTGTAGAACACAACACGCAGAAGCTTCTCGGTGTGACAGATACATTGTCTTAAATGTCATCAAATGTAATAAAAACTTGATTTGAATGGTTTCTTTTTATTGCATAATTGTGGCATATTTTTGTTCGTAAAATATTACACAAACTGCATACTTGGTCCCCATCTATAAATAGAAATACGTTTTCCTTTTTACTTTGAATGACATGAATTCAAGCTTTCGTATGATACAATATTGCCCCCTAGTGGTCTTGGGCGGTATTCGACGTGGAGACTGCGACAGGTGCTTTCTTTCCCCAAACTTTAGTTTCGTCCACAGAATTCAGTGATAAAAAGCAGACTGTTCATTGAATAAACGAGACAATGATGGACCTGAATTACCAGTCGATGAAAGTGGCTCACCAGGCCAGAGAAGCTGTGAGTATATTTTTAGTGTAGTTTTGAGCTTTCTTTTTCAGGGCATCTTGTGATACGTTGAGCTAGCAGCGATTATTGTCGTTAGCTTAAATGAGCTGCGGTCAGACTCAAAACTTCACTGACTTAATTGTGTAAATGAGTTTGCAGGTGACAGCAAAGGTCTGAGTAAAGTTGTATAGTTTTATATTTTATTCTGAGTGCGTTTCTCACGGTTAGTGCTTTAAGGTTAGCCGCATCCACCACAGCGTCCCTGGTTGCCTGGATACCACTAAAGCACGTGCATGGACCAGGAAAAGCTCTTTATATTCCCAATTCAATTCAATTTTATTTATTTAAAAAGGGACAGTGTACAATTAGAACATAAATGCCTCCATTTGATGCAATGAGTCAGGCACATTTTTACTGAAACGCATGGGAGATCTGTGTGTGAGAACCCTTTGGAGTACGACTGATGTTGTCGTTTTAGCTGCATGTATCCACTGACTCCAAGTATTTAAATGAGAAAAAATAAAATAAATGTATACTTTGTTATTTTCTCCCTGTAGGGTCTCTGCATTTGACCCAGAGCAGTGGTAAATAAATCCACTTAAGTATAGGTATATAAATGAGTACTAAATCAGGTCTTAAACGCAACAACTGTTTCTCTGTCTAAACAAGGAACATTGAGAATTATGGAAGAGTAATGATCTGTTTAAGTGTTGTGTTCCACACTGGTAAACCAGAAGCACTTCTGTATTGAAATGTGACTTGTTTGTTAAAGGACGAGCAGAGGACTGACATGAGGAGGAAGAGTCTTCTCGTACTCGTCTACCATCACCTCATGAGACATGGGTAAGCTTAGTTTAGATTCTTTATCATCCAACTAAATGATAAAGAAAGAAAAGCTAAAATTGTTTTAGAATTCATGTATTGATTATTTTGACCAGCAATGCCTATGTGTCATGATGTCTTTCAGAGCCTGCAGATATGTTACATATCTCCCCTGTATCTAGACACAAGGGATATAGTTACATTTTCATGGTTTGAATAAACTGCTTGTTCAGGTTTTTGCAGGTAGACCAACAAGTGCCTAAACACAAGGCCCCTAATTATGTTTTAGATGACACCATTTTATATGGGCCCACAGATACATGGAGGCGGCTCTGGCCCTGGACCTGGAGACAAACGGCGGTATGCGGAAGTTTGAAGTGTGCGACAACATCGACCTGGAGATGGTGCTGATGGAGTATGAGAGCTTCCACTACGTCAAGTTCCAGAGGTATCCCAAACTCATCAAGAAGGCCACCGAGCCAGGTACGTGAGGGAAGTGGGAGGAGCTATAGGCTGCAACAGTTAGTGGGGTTAACTTAAATTCAATAGTTTGAATAGATGTATTAATGTATGATAATATTTGTATTTATTTATTTGACAGGGGCATTGCACAATCAATGTATTGTACTGACCAGGCATAGTTAATTTTTATCTTTTTATCATGTTATGTATGTATCTGTTGCATTTATTTCTGATTTCAAGTGAAAATACTTGCCATTCACTTATTTTATGGAAATATGATGAGACATTTTATGGTTATTTCAGTGGCATTTTTAGGAAAGTCACAAGTGTTTAAGTGTTCCTTGGTTTTAAAACATATTTAAATGTACTTCAACACTGTACAGGGACATTAAACAATAATTGAACATTATTGAGTGACTAATACATTTCCAACTTGTCAAAAGGTGAAAACAGGTCTGGAGCAAAATCCACTGGAGTAAAAAGGTACAGCGTATTTAACCTTATTGGAAAATCCTGATATTTGAAGTTTGTAATTTGACCTGTCCGTCTTGGTTTCATTTATAATTACAGAAACTCCTGTTCAGCATCAAAACCTCTGCCAAAAATCACAGCCCCAATCTCGGGGAAGAAGTCAGCCGCCAAAGCACAGCCCCAAGTAAGACTGCCATATATATTCTAAACTCCATTGTCTTCACAGAATTTGAGCATTACTGTACATTTATTTTAGGAAAATGATGTTGATTCTTCAGAGTTTGGTCTCAACGTTTCTTCAGCCATCCAAGGTCCCGGCGGTGATAAAAAGGTAAAACATTAATTTTCAACTGAAGGGATGACGATGGCTTTACCTTCACAGTATTATTGACCTTTTAGGTTGTTTCAATGCTGTTCATCGATTTTCCCTTCACTTAATTATTAAAATTGATTGAGTTGAATTTGAGGATTTCCAAGCAAACACTTGATTTACTAACATTCGCAAAATAAAGATGTTGTCATCCCGCTCGTTTGTTATTAAAGCATTTCCTGTGCTCGAACTGTTTGATTCTTTCTGCTGTTGTTGGCTAATTGACGACTTTGCAAATTCCTCCGAGACGACTGGTGTTGTGAATACATTTGATAAATTGATTTAGTGTTGAGAAGGTCACACATACAGTACACACAAAATGTACTTTACTTTAAACAGTATAAAGCAAGTTCAGATCCAAATTACAAACAAAATCTGTTGTATTTGTTTTGTTTGTTTTGTTTTTTCTATCCCCAGGGAAAGCTCGGGGAAGACCAAGGCTCAGCAGATGGAGTCAAAGGCGTCTGTGACTCAGAACATGTGGTATTGTTATATTATTATTATTATCCTCAAATGCTTATTCAAGTTATTAAAGTTGTACAGAAAAAATGTCTCACACTGTTTCTAATCTTACAGGAGCGTTTGTTGAAGCCTCTCAGTGGATTCTCTGGAATAACAGGAGAAATGAGAGAACTGGCCACCATCATTAGTCGGGTAATTATACTGCTATACTTATGTATAGTACTACTTTATAGTACTATACAGAAAGTGTCTCTGAACTTTATAATTTGAATTTAAAGAGACACTGGACACATGTACAAATCATCTCGTCAACATATTTATGATCTATACTTGGTTGCAAAAACAATGGACATTATGAGCACATTATTTATCTTATTGTATATTTTGGTTCTCAAGGTAGGTTGCCAGCAGCTGGAGCAAATGAGAGCAGGAGTGATTAGCATGCATACACTGGCAACAAAGGTTTACATAGTTGAAAAGTTATAAAGCCAGTAAGAATACTGTTCCTCAAAGGCAGCATACATGTGGGATTTAGAAAAGTGTAAAAAGTATATACCGGTAAATGGTCACAATTAAACTTTTCTACCTTTGAAGGCATTCAAAGAGTAAAGAGCCACTCACTCCCTCAAGTTATGAAAATCCTAGCTCTAAGTTGAAAAAAAAGATAAACGGACGCTTTTGAAGTTCAAGGTCTAATTATTTTATTTCCTCATAACTTGCCTAACTTGATTACTTATGAAGCATCAATATTAGTTGTTTGATAAGTGGAATCGGTGCAGTGCACCCCTCCTGCTCATTCATTTTGTGTTGGCTAAACTAATGAAAATATATCGCCCTGTTTATTCTTTGTGGGTGTCTAATTACCTTAAATGTGTGTCATCTGTATTTTTGGAATAATATAGGGAACAAGACTCGAAAGATGCACTGGAATAAGAACAGTTGGTCACCCTATAGTTCTTTGAATAGAGCATTTATCTGAAAAGTGACTGTAACTGCATAAGTGTTACTCATTACCCCCCAACTCTCATCCACCACACACTACAATATTTAGCCTCAGCACTGTGTAGCAGCACAAATCTTCTGAAAATGAATTGATCCGAGGTATTAATGAAGCTGTATGTCCTATTTGTTTCCCTTATGCGCCGCTCCATTCTAAAGGACACCTATTTACGCCCGTCCTGTCCCTGCGTCCGGTGACCTTACCTTTTGCTTATGTGTGTGTGTGTCGCGCCAAGGATATCTATTTGCACAGTCCAAAGGTGCGCTGGGAGGACATCATCGGCCTGGAAGATGCCAAGCGATTAGTCAAAGAGGCCGTCGTCTACCCCATTAAGGTGAGCGCGCCATTTCAACACTGGTATTTGGCCCGCTTCGATTCTGAATACATCTCCTTTAGAGAGTCAAAGGGAACATCTGTAGGCTTGGAGCTGCACAGCAAAAACTGCACTCACAAGACCCTCGCTTTTTATTGCAGGTCTGCTTCATAGACTGTATATAGATGGACAATGCTAACCCTCTAGATCAATGAAGCAGCATAGGGAAGTGGACAAGATTTTGCTCCTACTCACTCTTTCTTCTATTGACTAGAACTAGAACTCAGTAACTGTTTCGATCCTGGTGTTTGTATCGTGATATTGTCTTTGTAACTCCAGATATGCCCTAACAACTGACCAATCAAGAGCCTTCTGTCTGTGAATTCGGCTTTAGCTAGTGAGTAGCGTGAGAAGGGACAGACCGGCGCCGCTCCTGATTGGCGCTTGGTAACTAGGCCGTTGCTACAAACAAAATTTGACTTTATTTTTATTTGCTATACCCACTCAAATAGCCTGTTCAAGTAAGCTCTAAGCAGCCTCTTTGAGGGTGATGTCTATGGGTGACGCCAGCACTCGGCCAGTCGACTCATAATATAGTCTATATTCAGCTACTACTGTTTTCAATCAATTAATCAGATCTTTATTTGGAGAGCACATTTAAAACAGCCTAGGCACACCAAAGTGCTGTACAGACAGATAAATAAAAAAGAAAAATACATAATAAAATAAAATAAATTAAAAACATAAAAAAAACACACACACACACACATAAAAGTACAGCAATATATATACGCATTATTTTTACATTTCCAACCTGAATTATTATAAAACATTTAATGACAGAGTGACCGGATGGTGATGGTCTCAGTGATGGTGCCAGTGTGTGTAATTATACGATATAGATGAGGTTTTTAACTCATCTAGTGCCTCTGTGTTGGGTTGCGGTGAGACTAAACAGGGAGAATCAGGGTCATCTCCTTGCAGCCCTTGACGTGCAGCTCCGTGCCGGAATTACACTGTTGGAGTCGGCCGTGTCAGGGCTACAGGGGCCCAGAGAGGGGTCAAGCCAGTCTGTTAGCCTGACATTAAATCCATATCTGGGATAATGCGGCTCCGCACATACACAGATGGATCGGGACGCGCGTGCTACGGACGTGTTATGTAGAGCAAATGGCAGAGACAGCTGCGTGGCGTCTCCATCAGGACCTCGCCGTGACAGCAAATCAGGCCGTCTGCATCCTCTTGACATTTGTGCGGCCAGATGAGGACGGATGTGGCGATCTTTCCCATTCCGCGCAGTTTTATTGAATAACACCTTTTCCACAATGCCCAAATTCCACCGACATTATCATTCATTCAGAGGGTTAAGGTCACAAAGAGAAACGCACACATTTATATTCATCTGTAAAAGGGGATTTGTGGAAATATAGCACGGCTTCAGGACATGTTAATCAGTGCTTTAGTGTCGCGTTGCCATTGGGGGAATGGAAATGTATGCTTTGGACTTAGGGTTATTAAAGGAGAAGAATGTATTTGAACTTGTGTTAAAGTGTGTTTGGTCTGCAGTGCTCACTAACGCACACAATAGTTTAAAACGGTCGTGTTCTATGGCTTCCAAACTATATTACATACTGATTTTGTCAAATCAACTTGTGAAGTTTGAGATTACTGTTTTGTGACTTGGGACTGAACAAAAAACAATTGATTTGATCTACTGCAGATTGGAATTATTATCAATCCGAATCTCAATCTCAAGGCAAAATATGGACATCCACTGAAGGTGCCAACTGTATTTTAAAGTTACAGGGATTATGTGAAAGAAAATTATTTCCACCGATAAGATTAGTTCATAGTCCCACTAATGTCTGCTGCCGTTGTGTCCTTGGGCAAGACACTTGCCTGAAGCCCCCGCTGAAAGATCTCAGCTCCTGTGGACTCACCACCTGCAGGAGGATCAGTGAGGGGCTGGTGCTCTGTGTACTGGGTGCAGCTCTGACTGCCACCCCCCCGACCCTGAAATGCATTAAGGGGAATAAAATGGATGGATGGAGATTAGTTTATTTGGTTTATTAATGTAGTCTATAGTCAACAACAAAAACAATTTCATTTAAGAAATGTAACTATTTTCTGTATTCTGATTTCAATGGCCATGGTGAAAAATGATTCAGCACTGATGGTTTAGCCAATGCCTTAGTATAGTAATACACGAGAGTATTAGTTTTCATGCTAAGAGTTAGTATTGGGGTGATTCTCACGAAATCCAGATTTAAAACAATTCCAACTTCAAAATTTTCAAAAGGCATTTGAAGACTAATTTTCTTTTAAGCACTTTAGATGAATGTCTGAACTTACTAAACACATTATTTTTCAACATCGTTTTTGATTTTTTTTAGTTGAATTACAGGTATTTTAGATATTGAGTGCCAAAAAAATCTCATTACCGCAACATGAAATCACATCAGATTTATTGTTAAAATAAAAAAAATTGGGAAATTTTAAAAGTAGCTAATTAACACTTATGCCAAGAGGAATGTATCAGTCAAGAAAGATTACTTCGTTATATTTATAAATTTGAAAATATTTATAATTTGTCTCATTACCGCAACACACTTAATGATTTACATCTAGTTTTTTTAGGATATTCCTTTGAAAACTGACATAAATATATATTTTTTGTGATTGGGATATAAAAAGTAGTACTACAAATTGTGTCAACACAATTGCTAAAAAAACAAAAAACAAAATAGTTATTAAATCATTTGCAAATGAACACGTTACGGTAATGAGAATGGTGTTTCGGAAATGAAATTCAATGTTTCGGAAATGAGATTTAGTGCAACATAGGTTAGAAATGATTCACATTTAACACCCAATGATATTTTAATGGTCAAAAGCATTTCATTTCATCATAGTAGTAGTAACAAAAGAATTCATTTATAACAAATAACAGTATTCATTTATTACATTGTAAGGTGGATGACAAATATAGCCTGACTCTCGCCAGACCCATGTAGTTCGCAGCACTTCACACATGAGTCTAGTACTGAGCCATAGTGGTTGGATTTCAGAAGGCAGGGCCTTTTAAAAAAAATCCTTGTATGTGATTGGATAGACCACTTGTCCGTTATCTTGAATAAAGTCTGCTTTCAACCACTCACATCGAAGCACAAGGCTCCCATAGGTTGCCAAATCCCAGCAAGATTTTCCAACCCAAAATCCGCGAGAATACCCACAAAAAAAAAACACTCAGAATGATTTTTTGGCTAAAAACTTAATGTAATCAACTTGGCCTATCATGATTCTGTTTATTGTCTTTCTGTTTATTTAATACCTACAAGTCTCTTGGAAAAAAATATGCGGGAACCACCAAACCTGGCAACCCTGCTGCATAGTGTGTAAACAGGAACACTGAACCAGTGCTTCAATCAAACTTTACAGGAACATTTGACTCTGACTCTCTGACACACATATATCAACATAGAACCATCAACATCTCGCCTCTAATTGCATTAAAAGTGACATCCGTGTCTTAATTCGATCTTTTTTAAAAAGATTTGCGGACTTTACGTCCGCCATCTTGGATTCCTCTCGCTGCTGCATGAGAGAAGCGTGAGGAGGCAGTGCAAACCCCACGTAACACCGGCAATCCTGATTGGTCAATTAAAAAATAATCTGGGGAATGCGTTCGCTATGGCGTCGATACCAGACCCATGTGGTTCAGCCAAACGCCTCTGGTGGAGCATGGCGGAACTACAAGGGTCTGGCATAGCCAGGCTATGACAAATAAGCCCTGAAAACACCTTTTTTTTTAAATTCTAAACTGCATTAAGGAAATTTAGCAGAAATTAATATTAGTGTAAGAGGTACACATAAGTATCATTTATGGATGGCCCTCAGCAGAGGACCCTGTACTCCCGGAGAATCCCCCAAAGGACACCCCGGGGAACACGGTCGAACGCCTTCTCCAAGTCCACAAAGCACATGTGGACAGGTTGGGGCGAACTCCCATAAACCCTCGAGTATCCGATTGAGAGTATAGAGCTGGTCCAGTGTTCCACGGCCGGGACGAAAACCACACTGCTCCTCCTGAATCCGAGATTCAACCATCGGTCGTAGTCTCCTCTCCAGTACCTTGGAGTAGACCTTACCAGGGAGGCTGAGGAGTGTGATCCCACAATAATTGGAACACACCCTCCGGTCCCCCTTCTTGTAGAGAGGGACCACCACCCCGGTCTGCCACCCCGATTGCCTTGCGATATTGCAGAGACGTGTCAGCCAAGACACTCCTACAACATCCAGAGACTTTAGATTGTCAGGACGGATCTCATCCACTCCCGGAGCCTTCAAATCAAATCAAATCAAATCAAATTTTATTTATGAAGCGCTTTTCATACAAAAGATGCAACACAAAGTGCTTTACAGTTTGGTTAAAAACAATCCCGCCGGCCCATGTCCCCTCCCCCCGACCACCCAACAGACCCATCCCAAACCACAGACAAACACACACACGCTCCCATGCACACTCTCTGACACACACACACACACACACACACACACACACACACGTAAAACAGTAAAACAATGATGAGAGACTTGGCAGGGTTCGGATGCAACCAGTTGAAAAAGCGTCATCCTAGGAGCCGTCTGCACCAGGAGCAGAGAGCCGCCTGTAGCCACAGGGGACGACACAGGATCTAGAGGAGACCCGAAACCGAGGCCCCAGGCCCCCACCAGGTCCAAGAGTCCGACCCCCACAGCCACACCGACCACTGCTCCCGGTGCAGAGGGCTCCTCCAGAGGAAACACTGGGTACACTAAAAACAATACAATAACAATACAATATGTAAAACACAAAAATGTGAAACTAAAATGAAACTAAAATGAACTAACACACAATACATGAATAAAAGCAATAGCAATACAATAAATAATAGAGGATAAATAGAATATATAAAATGAAATAGTAAAAACTAATCAAAAGCTAATCTAAAAAGGTGCGTCTTGAGCCTGCCTTTAAAAAT